GAAGATCAGCTGTGACTTGACTTGACTCAGGAAGATCAGCTGTGACTTGACTTGCCTCATGACGATCAACGGTGACTTGACTTGACTCTGGAAGATCAACGGTGACTTGACTTGACTCTGGAAGATCAACTGTGACTTGACTGAACTCATAAAGATCAACTGTGATTTGACTTGATTCATGACGATCAGCCGTGACTTGACTTGACTCATGACAATAAACTGTGACTTGACTTGACTCATGAAGATCAGCCGTGACTTGACTTGACTCATGACAATAAACTGTGACCTGACTTGCCTCATGAAGTTCAGCTGTGACTAGACTTGACTCATGACGATCAACTGTGACTTGACTTGACTCATGAAGATCAGTTGTGACTTGACTTGACTCATGACGATCAACTGTGACTTGACTTGACTCATGAAGATCAGTTGTGACTTGACTTGACTCAGTGACTTGACTGGACTCGGGAAGATCAGCTGTGACTCAACTTGACTGGACTCGGGAAGATCAGCTGTGACTTGACTTGACTGGACTCGGGAAGATCAGCTGTGACTTGACTGGACTCGGGAAGATCAGCTGTGACTTGACTGGACTCGGGAAGATCAGCTGTGACTTGACTGGACTCAGGAAGATCAGCTGTGACTTGACTTGATTCATGACGATAAACTGTTTAAATTATTCCCTTAATATTTCTCTTGTGGCCCGTATAGTGAAAAACATGAGAAGAAACGTATTTCGCATTAAAGAGGTTGTTTTTTCAAATCTGTGCACGAAATAAAGCTGCTCTTAATTTTCATTGATGACTGCAGTGTTAATCATTTTAATTATAGGCCTATAATTCAATTGTATAAATTAATCGACCTGTTTAAAAAAACTTTTAAAAAACATTTTCAATGAGGAGTAGCCTAAACTAATAGCCTAAATTTTAATTATCCTCACAGTGCACCATACGGTAATGCGCTATTAAATTATTGCGGCGCAATAATTTCATGTCATTTAATAATAAAAGTAGCCTAATAATAATAAGCCTAATAATAAGAAGAATGTAACAGGCCTACTGTTACGGGGCGAACGAGACGTGAGACGTGCGGATCCATCTGCAAAGCTTTTATTTAAAGGCGTGGTCATAAAAACAGGCAAGGTTCTGACAATGGCAAACAGGTATATTGAGGGCAAGACAAAAGAGTAATCCAAACCAGGCGTGAGTCAGTCGACAGCGAATGTTATCCAGAGGGCTTGACAAGAGGGGAAATCCAAAAACACGAGCAGTAGTCCAGGCGAGGTGCAAACAGTCCGAAACAGCAGGCAAAGGGTTAATCCAAGATAAACAGGTAAAAATCAGGTAACACGGGAAAGCAGGCAATGATATAGTCCATAGTTATGTGTGACAGTCTATGTGGAGTGAGTGTCAATATGGTGAGAGAGCGACCTCTTGTGTTCATTGGATGAAAGTCCATGGACTGGATTCATGACGGCACCCTTTAAGTTCTCTAAAACACCTTTTTATTTTGTCTTTTTTTTTTCCTCAGGAAAAGAAAGCCTGAAAGATCTGGAAAAATTAGAGATAGAGGCAACCAATCTCCAATCAGCCAATGAGGATCAGCAACGACACATTGAGATCTTAGAGCAGGCTTTAAATAATGCTCAGAGTAAAGTCCTCAAACTAGAGGAAGAGGTGAGTCTTTTGGATTACCCTAATAGATTGTTGGTACAGTTTTAAATAAATACAAACTTCGGCATTGCTTTCGCCATCCTTTGGCTTTACACAAACTGAATTAAACTATTCTACCGATACCAGCATTGTGATTAAAATGATTAGAAATGCCAGCCCAGTGGGATATTTCAGTCCTTTATATGTTTGCAAACACATACTGTAAATTTTCAGGACCAACAACCTCACCTTTGGTGAAATCTCACTGATTAAGTGGAACTGTACTGGATAATTAATTGTCTGTCACATCATGCAATGTGAAAAAGTCACTCTACACTACACATGCTCATACACATATCTAGCAAAACTTACGGATATGAAAATATGAGCTGTGTGTCATTTTAAGGTTTAAAGTCCCCCTACAGTCATTTATTTTATCCCTTAAAACTCATCTTTCTATTTTAGAAAAAGAAATTAAAAAATGTAAGAAATTAATCCATATTACAAAAATAAAGCAAAGCAAATCTTATGAAATGTGACATCAAACAGTGTATAAATCATTCATTAAAAAAATGACACTGTCCAATAATAACACCAGTGGCTAAAGTTTTAGAAGGAAGCAGCATTTCTCTTGTCTCCCATGAGCCCAGTAAGTTTTAAATATGAATGGCATGGGTTTGGTGGAGTGTAATTGAGAATGAATAGGAAAAATATAAAGTGAGATGACACCAAGCCTCAGTCCACTTTGACTGACCTGTCACACTGTTCACGTCATAAATCCTGCAACTCATCGTTGTGTGTCTTGTGAAAAGTGCTACACAAATAAAATTACATCGTGGACTTGGACAGACATCCACAGGATTTTACGTAGATTTTAGGCTACGGGTAAGAACCAGTATTTGTTTTTTATCCCTAGACAGAGAGTTTGTGTTATATTATATTGAATGGGCCCGTAGCAATAGATCAATTAAACTTTTTATCTCCTATCTTTACAATACAGCCACATACTTTAATGAGGATTATTAAATAATTATTCATTTAATTAATTGAATAATTATTAATAATTTATGTTGATGATTTGGATTAAGGAGTGACCTGATATAAAACAACCACTAAACAGTGTCAGTCATCTCAAGTAAATCTCTCTTCAATCTGTCTGTGTGCTGTAGTTGAGTAAAAAGCAGAAGTATGTGGAGCGGGTGGAGCGGTTGCAGCAGGCACTAGCACAACTCCAGATTGCATGTGAGAAACGTGAGCAGCTGGAACAACGTCTACGTACTCACCTGGAGAGAGAACTGGAATCATTGCGAACACAACAGGTCAGTGCTTGAAACTTTTTCATTAGAATTTTAGGGTTTACACAACTGACAACATTTTTGGTTTATTTTCATTTCTTTTTGTTTTATAGTTCTTTCCACAATCTATTTCCTAATCAGATTTATAGAAAATTGTGCCTTAATTTCCTAAAGCCCCCAGTGAGCAAGCCAAAAGTGACTGTGGCCAGAGGAGAACTGAATTGAATCAACACTGAAATAAATTGAGCTGAATAATGACACCATTGATTTCATGAGTTCGCACTTACATATAATTGGATTGAGCAAATTGTAAGCATATTTGGCGTGCTGTCCTGAGGGATGGCTCCGAGCTCAGACTATAGCCCAAACCCAGAGTACTCCCCCAATCCCTAGTATGGGATGAGAATAGTTTAATAGTAAGGAGATGGGGTGGAGGAGGGATGCCGGAAAACTGTCCTGGGACAGAGGTAAGTTGGCTGTGTATATACAGTGGGTACGGAAAGTATTCAGACCCCCTTAAATTTTTCACTCTTTGTTATATTGCAGCCATTTGCTAAAATCATTTAAGTTAATTTTTTTTCCTCATTAATGTACACACAGCACCCCATATTGACAGAAAAACACAGAATTGTTGACATCGATTAACTGAACGAGTTCCACCTGTGCCAAATTGGTTGATTATCTGATCGTGCTTCTCCCGAAACTTGTTAATAAAACATTTCTGTAGAGCTGCCTCTGATGTTGTTTCATAATTTATGAACTTAACATCTACACTGTTATTGAACAGAATTGAATCAACATGGAACTGACTTTTGTAGAGATGGTTTACAGCTGAAATTAAAGTTTCATATTTAATGAATTTTGCAACATTAACATGGTTATTTTCCTGTTTATTACTGAGAAGCTAAGATTGGAGCAATCTGTATTGCATAAAGCGCTGAATAAATAAACGTGAATTGACTTGTGGAAATGGAGTTAATGCATCAAGTCACAAAAGCGCATCTCGAGACCCTCGCATTCTGCGCCGCGCTTTTTAAAAAACATTCCTGACCGCTGCGTCTCGCAACTTTAGATGCAAAACAAGTCTGTAAAAATGTGGCACAATGTACTGTTTTTGTATGAAGAAATTTTCTGTATGGATTTTTCACATGTGTTTTAGCTGTATTTTAAATTACACATTGTATTTTGTGTTTTAGGGTTACAGGAAATGCCTGTAAACTTACCTGATTACAATTACCAGCATCTTTTCTGTTTTAAACATTTTTTTCTTTGTACCTAACTGATCAACAATTATGCACCTTTATTTGTATAGCGCTTTTTACAATACTGGTTGTGTCAAAGCAGCTTTACTCTGTCAAACAGGAAATGTCAATAATGCAAGAAGACAATGACAGAGTAATTTTTCCAGCTAAAGTCAGTTCATTGATGATTCAGTGATATCATAATCCAGATCAGCTCTCTTCCAATAGTGTCTGTGCAATCAGTAAAGCGTCCCCAACTAAGCAAGCCAAAGGCGACAGTGGCTTGGAACTAAAACTTCATTGGTGACAGAAATTGAGAAAAAACCTTGGGAGAAACCAGGCTCAGTCAGGGGGCCAGTTGTCCTCTGGCCTGACGAAACCAGCTTGGCGTTGTTTAATTCCAGGCTGCAACACAGGTGCAGAGGTCTTGTCTGGTTCCCGTGGTCTTGTGCCGATGGTCGTTGAGGTGATGAGGTCTTTGCAGGGGATCTGTCTCTGGGGCGCATCTAGTTGACATGGTCTCCGCTGACATTCAGGGCTGTAGAGGTCGTCTCTAGGTGCTGATCCACCATCTGGTCTGGATATGGACTGGATCTGGGTGGCTACGGTGACCATCTGATCTGGATATGGCTACAGTGAATTATAGAAATGCGATAGTGTATTATGTGTAGGGGTAGAACGGTTCAACTTACTCACGGTTCGGTTTGTATCACGGTTTTAGGGTCACGGTTTTGGTACGGTTCGGTATGAGCTGACCTATTCAGTCAAGAGCAGTGAGTGATTTCTTTGTTGTTTCTGTTTGATTAATTAAGAAAGTGCTGTCACTTTAAGACACTGTAAGTACGTTCAGCCGGCTATGTCTGCTATAGAATACTTACCAAGATGGGCATTTTGACATAATTTTTGTGTGAATTTGTCCATTTAAACACAATACTTCAGAGAGAGCTTAATATTTGCACGCGTTCTGAGGCGCGGGTTTGCGCGCTTCGGATGAGCGCACGCACAAATCTTCTCACTGCGCGCGCGAGCTCGCGT